CAAGTGATTGCAAAGACCATGGCCTGTATCAGACTATACTATACCTCAAGAAAATGAGAACTGAGACACAAACGCAGATGTATACACCAATGTTCATAGCAGCATTATTCACCATCACAAGAACATGGAAATAGCCCAGATGTCCAAGCACAATTGAATGGATTGAGAAATTGTGATACATTCACATGATCGAATACCATGGAGAACTTAGGAGAAACAATTTCAAAAATTACTACATAATGAGTATAAGGATCCAGTGGGGAGAGTGGAAGCAGAGGGGTGAGGATGTGCAAGGGGAGGGAGGATTAGTCATGGAGTTGTACAATTTGAGGGAAATTAGAAGAATCTGTTCTGGAAAACAATGTTTTGAATTCTGTAAATAAACTAGCATAATAATTTAAAAAAACCCACTACATAACTTGAGAGGGACTGGAGAGCATTAGGTTGTGTGAACTAATTCAGTTTCATAAGGACAAATACTGCATAAGACCATTATTGTAAAAATAGAAAAATAACTAGTAAAACATGTATGAGGATCTAATGTGGGGAGGGTGGGAGCAGAGGGGTGAGGAGGGGTAGGAACGAAATCATAAGGTTACACAGTTTGGTGGGTGGAGGGAGAGGGGGGTAAAGGAAATGGGAAAGATCTGGTGGGGATCTGGAAAGACAGGGAAAGCATTGTTTAATGATGATGAATTTTCTAAAACATAATGAATGGGAATGACTGTATGAAACACAATGTGAATGAAGGATAGTGTGAAACACACTGTACATAAACTGTGTAAGCAAACAATAAAATAATAAAAGATGGGTTGACACAATGACAGTAAGAATGGCTCAAGCATGGCAGAAATCATGAAGATGATCAGGGTAGGGCAAGGTTCTGATCTGATACAAGGTTGCTCTGAGTTGAGACCTATCCTACTGCTCATAACAACAAATTGCATTTTCTCTGCAAGCTGCTAGCAGATTTGAACTGCCAGAGAGGTCCAGACTTTGGGTTAGCAGCACAAGTCCTCACAGACTAGGCCACCAGAGTTCCACTAGTGTATGTAAGGGAGTGGGGGAATCCAACTATCTGCACAAGGCACAGCATGGAATTTTTTTTCTTCCCCACTCCTCTCCAAGACACAAACACTCCTGGCACAAAATAGAGGGGAGACATCCATAAAAATGACTTAATATGTGCCCTTTTGAAGTGAAGGAACTGTCAGACCTGTGATTATAAAATATAACACAGCTGGGGAGATCCAAAATGTATTCCTGCTCAGTGAACTTTCCAATCGGAACACGCTCAGTTAGCAGTCAGGTTTTATTGTGTGCTGGAACAGTTTAAATTTCCCTTTCTTCTCATAGATCCCAGCGGATTGCACCCACCATGAAAAACAAATCCCCAAAAAACCTCTCCTACATCATGCTCGAATGTTCCCCTCCTGATGAAGAAAGACTTGGGGGCAAGTTCCCCAAGGTGCTCTCAGGTGAGAAGACAGGTGCACATACTGTGAGGCCCCTCAAAGTACTCTGTCGTCTCCAGTCTCTGTATTCTCTCTCACCCCTCTGCACAACCACTACCTTCCTTGGGAGCAGACACCAAAGATTCAAGTAAGGATCACTGGGCTTTCAGGCCACTGAGACTGTAGCTTCTTGTGGGGAAAAAATCAGGCAAAACGTCCTACTCCCTGCGTGCCCCAGGCAACACCACGCTCCTCCCAGTGCCAGCAGGAGACTGCACATATTAAAAGGCAATTATGCAGGGCCAATAGGGCGCATATTAGCGCGGGGCCTTAGTTTACAGACTTAATTACCAGAGGCCTTTAGAAACATTTCAGCTGGAGGAGGAGGAAGCACACTCGGGAAGGCGTCTGGCTCTCTGTTGATGCTGACTGTGCAAACCTCTCTGGTTTCTACCTGCAGCCCGGCAGCGCAGGTGTCATCATTCCTCCAGCACATAACAGTGATTAAAGACTCTGAAGGCAAGAAGCTCCGTGATTACGTGTGGAATTGAACATCTTTCCGATGCCTTCTGAGAAGGCCGGACAATTAAACTGAGTCAAGTCTCACTATTTATAAAATCGCAGCTCTACAAAAATATCAATTCCAGCCAGCATTATGTAAATGAAGTATGATTAGGCTCCCATTTATATGACACGTGAAAACGCCAAGCCGGGGGCTTGAAGGCTTGCTTCAGCACTCCAGTCGCATTTAATAATGAGCCTGGGTTCCCCAGCCAGGGCACAGGCTTTGCAGAGCTGCAAGCTCAGGAGCAGATAAGCAGCTTTCTGTCCGAACACTGCTTCCTGCTGGTTGCACCTCTTACCAAGATTGTGTATTTTCACCCCGGATATACTGAATCAGAGCCCATACTTTTAACAACATCTCCAGGTGACTCTTATGTAGATTCTGATCCAGTATGTGCTAGCGTGCGCCCTAACACACACCTCACAGGAGAGTGGGGGAATAAGACCACTGCACGTCACAATGGCACCTGTTTGCCCAACTTGTTCTCCAAGCTCTTCCTCCTGCTGCTCCAGAGAAAGAGGCCCCCATGGCTCTGGGGCAACTTGCAAGAGGATTACGTAAGGCCCTGGGAGTTATCAGCTCCTTCAGAGGCCTTGCAGGAATTTCCTGTTATGTGACCTAGGCCTTGCAAACAGCACCACCAAGCTGTGCTGTCACTTCTCCTTCCTCTCCGGGGAAATGCATGCCCTTGCGTCCCTAGCTGCTCATGCCCTCCGGCTCTCCAAAGACTGGGCACTGCTCCCGGGAGGTCCACAGAGAGCCAGCATTAGGAAGTCTGTAAGGAGAGCAAGAACACACTAGCCCAGGGGACAACTCAGCTCTTTCGGAGCAAAAGAGCACAGCTCTGGTTCTGACCCAGGGGAGGAAGAGTCAACAACAGGCAACTACAGGCACAGGGCATGGGCCTGGTTTTTAAACAAATATTTGTGAGTGCTCCTGCCTTTCTTTCCTTACTTGTGTGTCATGTGGCTTTTACTACATGCAAAAGATGCACAGCATCTACCCAGAAAAGGAAACGAAGCGTTGCCACATTCTTGAGGCTGCCACATATCCTGTGTTTTCTTTCCTCCCAACTCAACCTCCTACAGATAACTGTCAGGCAGGCTTTTGGAATAATTTCCTTACTTCTTTTTATAATTTTACTATCTATATATGCATCCGTAAGGATTACAGTTTAATTCTGCCTATTTATTACAATAGCTACTAGTAGTTTGCTAATTTGGGTTCCTTTATAGCACTCCACTGGATGAATTTAACACGATTCATTTCTCTTTTACATTGCCTATGGATATTGGCACTCTGCTGGTCTAATGAATAGGGAGTTGAGTTGCCAACCCAAAGGTAATCAATTCTAATCTACCCACGGATCCTCAGGAATAAGATGGGTAATCTCCTCCCGCGCGATTTACAGCTTCTGAAAACTTGCTGGAGGATTGGCTGTGGGTTGGTTCCAACTCAACAGCAATGAACAACAACAAAATGGACATTTAGGCTGTTTTCAGTTGTTAATACTGATGGTTGTAGTCATTTCCATGAATATTGCTGAATATGTCTCCTGGTCCACAGTTGCTGGAGTTTCTGACTCATAGCAGACCCTCTATCGACTCGCCAAGGCTCACAATCACAGCGGGAAGAGACTGCCCACCTTTCCCCTGTGGAAATGCTGGTGGATTCACACTGCCTGGGATGCAAACCCTTTGGTGAGCAGTGAAACGTACAACAGACTACGCCACTAGGGTTCCCTTATAGCCTGGTACCACTTCTGTGAGACAAAGCCCAAGATTTTAAAATTCTGAGCTTAACCAAAGCCAACAGCCCAAACAACAAGGTCTTTCAAATGGAAAAGCTCACAAGATTCCCCCAAATGAGGCAGCACCCACGGCGCTCAGGAGCAGGCCCACCCGCTGTAGCTGCTGGGTACCGTCAAGTCAGAACTGACCCATGGCTGACCTGCTGGCAGGTTTCCAGAGGCAGGTAACTGCATGGGCAGAGACTGCTTTATCTTTCTCCCACAAAGCAGTTGGTGGATTTGAACCATGTGCTTTCAGGATTGCAGCACACTTTCTTACCACGAGGCTACCAGAGCTCCCTATATCTGAAGTTCAAGCAATAAATACAAATGTACTCCACATGGTTGTTGCTGTGTGCCATCAAGCTGCTTTTGACTCATAGCAACCCATATGTGCAACAGCTCTGAACCCTGCTCTATCCTGAGCCAACCTCACAGTCTCTGACACACCTGCCCCCAGTACCCCAGTCACTGAATCAATCCATCTCATCGAGGGTCTTCCCTTCTTGTGCCATTCCTCCACCATTCCAAGAATGATGTCCCTCTCTAAAAACTGGTCCCTCCTTGCAACATGCCCAAAGTACGTCAGACAGAGCTTCAGAATCCTTGCCTCCAAGGAGCAGCCAAATACATTAAACGTAAAAATATTCCAGCCTGCCAGTCAGCTGCCATCAAGTCACTGCCAACTCTTGGTGATCCTACTGTGACAGAGCAAAACAAGGTTTCCGACAGCAGATTGTTTGGAAGTGGACCACGAGACCTTTATTCCAACGGGCCTCTAGGTTAACTTAAACTTCCAACCTTTTGGTTTGCAGTTAAGCGTGTTAACGATTTGTGCCACTCACCCACTGACCTACTCACACATTCGCTCACTCGCCTCCTGCCGTCAAGCTGGCTCTGAGTCACAGGGACCCTCTATTAGGATTCCACGGCTGAGCCTCCCAGGGGGGAGCAGACTGTCCACCCTTCTCCTGCAGGGTCAGTGGTGGATTCGAACCACCTGAGATGTGCAGCCTTTGGTTTAGCAGCACAACTCAGCAGAGACTCTCTTGCCACCACCAGAGCTCCTGGGTACCACCCGGGACTCTACAGAAAGACACTGATAGGTGCCTATCTGCATGAGCAGCAGCAGGGAGAGGGTGACAGATGGAGGAGAAGTCAAGAGGCCACCCCCCTCAGAGCTACAACATACCTGTACACAGGCTGCATCTCCCTGGCTATGCCTATCACAGCGCTTGGCAGGAAATTGTCGAACTCCTCAAACAACTCTCGGATGTTAGTCTTATACTTTAGGTCGAGGTCCAACTGAATGATCCGCAAGATCTCTGGAAGAAAGAGAAAGTAAAAAATAAGACCCAGATACCTCCATATAGGCTAAGTCGTGGACAGAACATAAAGCGAAGATGCAGAAAGTGTACTGCCTGGCTGTCACTGGATGACACAGTTTTGATAGCCGACTCCACACTGAAGTCTTCATGAACAATTGTCCATATCTTTCCTTCCAATTGCAGTCATGCATTTTATTCAAAATTAGGGGAGCATATGTCCAAGTTTATGCCTATTATACTAGTGGAGAAGAAATTGAAATTGTCAAAACTTCATCTCACTTGAGTCCTCAATAAACACCCTTGGTACCAGCAGTCAGAAAATAAGGAGATATATTGCAAAGTCTGCAGTTAGGTTACTTAGGTAGGTAAGTAGGTAGGTAGGTAAGTAGTTACTCCAAATTAATGAGGAGTAATGATGTCCATTTGAGTACTAAGGTGCATTTGGTTAAGGCCGTGGTCTTTCCGATCACTTGCTCTGCATCTGAGAGTTGGACAATGACTAGGGATGACAGAATTGATGCCTTTGAGCTGTGGTGTTGGAGAAGAGCACTGAACATCCCATGGACTGTCAAAATAACAAATTATGTTGGAAAGGGTGCAGCCAGAGTGCTCTTTGGAAGCAAGGATAATGAGACTTCACCTCACAAACTTTGGGCATGTTGCTAGAAGAGGCTATTTCTTAGAGACAGACATGACATTTAGAAGGTGGAGGATCTGCAAAAGAGAGGAAGACCCTCGACCAGGTGGATTGCCATGGTGATTGTTGCAATGGGCTCTAGTGTGTCAAGAAGTGTGAAGATGGCACAGGATAGGTCATGGTTCAGATCTGTGGTATATAGGATCACTATAAGTCATATTTAACATAACAGCACCTAACAACAACAATAACATATGTCCATGTTTATACCTATTTTACTGGTGTAACTGTCACGTGTACCACATCACACTCAATAAAGTTTGAAAACAATATATAAGTGAGTACCCTACTTAAAACCCAGGGAGCTCTGATGGCCTAGTGATAAGGAGCCCCATTAACATCCCAAAGGCATGCAGTTCAAATCCACCAGCTGCTCTATGGGAGAAAGATAGGCAGTCTCCTCCATGCAATTTACAGCCTCTCAAAACCTGCTGGAGGGTCAGCTATGACCTGCTTCTGATTCAACAGCACACAATAACAACAACAATTTAGAACTCAAAGTATTCCAGTGTTCCTTTGGGATACAACTGGCAAATGAGAAGAACTAAGGTGAATAGGAGCAGGGAAAAAAGTCCTCTTCTTCTTGTTGATACATCCTATAAACCCAGCTATGTATCAAGATGAGATGCTTACTCAGAGGGAAATGGCTGCAAGACATCAGACATGGCCATGTTTTCATGGCCTAAAACACACATGGAGTCTCAATGATTCAGCCTCACAATTACCTAGCATGTAAGAGCTGTCTGCTTCCAATGCCTCCAGATGATTCAGTTGTGAAAAGGAGGCGAGCAGATTCTCAGGCACACAGAGGGAGGCGCTGGTTAAACGCATCTGCCCATTCCTTCACTACCCGCTGGGCTGAGCTCCATGGCGTCTGCGCAGGGAGGGACATCAGAGACCAAGCTGCCTGGGTCCCATCCCCTCAAAGAAAGACATGAACTAGTGTTGGAGGATGAAATGGGAAAGGCGCATGGAGCTCCAAGGTTGGGGGAACAGAGTTAAATAAGAATTGTTGTTAAGTACTGTAGAGTCAGCCTGGGGTCATAGCTGACTCTACAGCAGGTTTTCAAAGGCAGGAAATCAAACAGAAGGAGAATGTCTATCTTTGCTCTTAGCAGCTGGCAGAGAGGAACATAACATTAAGGAGAAGGTCCAGCTGAGAATCAAAAAATATACACCCAAGTTTGTTCCAGTTGTGCTGACAATTAATCCCATGGCCCTGGGAAGGTAACTTTCACTCTCGGAACCTTGGTTGCTTCATCTGTTAAATGGGGATGATATTCCACATTCCATGTGGCTGTCTAAGAAGAAGGATTGGCCATCCATTTCTGAAACAATCGATCTTTGAAAACCCTACGGACAACAGAGGAACACTGTTAGACCTAGCATGAGAGGGGGAACCCTCAGAGTGGAAGATACTGAAAAATGAGGCTCATGTGGCAGAGGTGATGAGGATGGCATATGACAGGGTCCAGATCTGATGTTCACAGGGTTGCTATGGGTCATATTCAACCCAACTGCAGCTAATAACAAGAAGATGTGGTGGTGGTGCTGAAAAGATGAGATACTGCTTTGAAATCTGTAGAGAACTGCAGGGACTGCAGGAAGAAGTGAGGCAGTGAAGGAAGGCTTCACAGGAGAGCGGGGATTGGGTTGGGCCTTGCAGTCTGGGCAGCTAGGGAGAAGTGAAGGGCGTGGTTGAAGTCAAAGCAGCACCAGTTCTCTACTGCCAGGCTCTCCTTCTGCTCCGTCCCGGTCACTTCACCCCTGCACAGCCACAGGGCACTCCAGCTCTCCCAGGGCAGGCTAACAGGGCTGTGGGGACGCTCTGAGGGCCGGGCCCACATCTCAGCCTCCTTCATCCACACAGGCAGAGCTCACAGCCAGTGCCCGGCAATGCTGGTAGGAGGCAACAGTCAGTCCGTAAATTATAGTTTCTGAAAAAATCACAGCTTATAAATCAAGAAAAACAAGATTCATTTGTTTCTTTTTCTCTTTCCCTTTGTGATGCAGAAATAAAATATTATCTGACATTCTATATGAGGTTTCTGGAGGCAAAAGTCCTAAGTTAGAGCAGATAAGAGAGAGTCCAGTGGCTAGGGCTGGAGGAAAGTGAGAGGCTGGAAATGGGGCTGTTCTTCTGCCCAAGGGGGGACAGGGCTCAGGTACTCAGGCTTTCCACAGCACATCCTTTTTATTTATAAGATTCATAAAACTACTGCTTCCCCTTCTACACCTAAAAACAATAACACATATTGCGGAAAGCCTATGGTAGTCTTTCCTGGTCTCCCGGAATCCAGCCTTACACTGAGGCGAGAACAGAGACAGCCTGCAGGGTAGTGAACTGACAGAGGCCACAGGGAAGGACACTGTGTCCCGGGAAAGAACGTCCCAGATTAAAAGCTCTTGTCATCGGGAGGTCACTACAGGGCTATCTAGAGTTTGCCCTGGATGGTAGAAGCCCCAGAGCACACATTCCCTCCAGCATTTTATCTTTGTTTTCCAGATCCATCGCCTACACTCTAAGCTCCCACATCCAGGGTGTGAGGGAGCTCTTCTCTAGTGTGGTGCAGCATCCACATAAGGCAAGGACAGGAAAGTGCCACCATCTAAAGCAAAGAAGCCACTGAATGGCAGGCTGTGTCAGCGAAGGAGGGGAAGAGACAAAGGCTTTACCCTGGTGCAAATAGTTAGCAAGCTTGACTACTAACAAGGTCAAAAGTTCTAGTCTACCTTTCAGCACTTCAGAACAAAGGCTTTGCAAATGACTTTCAAAACATCAAGCAATTAAAATTCCATGGATCTCATTCCTACTTTGACACACTTGGGGTTACCACGAGTCACAGAGATCTCCATGATAAATGGGTTTATTTTTAAGGGGACAGTATGCATGCTGTGAGATTTGTGATATTGACAAGGCTATTAAAGTTGGAGGGATCATCTTCCTGGGCTCAGGACTTCATGGCACATCCAAACACAACGGACACACAAAAGCACTCTGGTTTTGTTTTTTCCCCTCCCGAAAATCCACTGTAAGTAGCCAGCTTTACTTAAACAGTTGTTTATTTCTAACCTCCAAAACTTTCCCAAAGGAGAATCACTGACATTTTCTGATGAAGTAGGGGCTTGAAAAAGTTTAAAATAATAGCCCAATATGAAACACAATGTATATGAACTTTGTAAGCAAACCAATATAAAGTAAAAGTTAAAAAGTAACAACAACAACAAAAAAAACTACAAACCAACCCCACAATAGCCCAGGGTCATATAGCAAATAAATGCTGGAGCTGCGATTAGAAGCTTGGTCCATTTGATTTGCAAGTCCAGTGTATCCTGATTCCCCCTCTCAAGGAAAAATAGCTCTAGAGAGGAAGAGGTGGCTTCCGCTGCTACATACAGTGGGGCCTCAGGCGCACAAAGTCTGTAATCACTGCTTTTAGGTGCCACTGAGTTGACTACAACTCATATTGACCCTCTATATAACAGATGAAAACCATGCCGTATCTTCCACCACTTCACAACCTCTGGCATGCCCAAACCCATTGCTGCAGTCACTGTATCAATCCATTCTGCTGAGAACCTTTCTCTGTTTTGCTGACCCTCCACTTTTCCTCACATGATGTCTCTTTCCAAAGACTGGTCCCTCCTGAAAATATTGCCCAAAGGATGTAAGACAAAGTTTTACCTCTACAGAAGACTCTGCTGGTCATACTTCCTACAAGATAGATTTGTTTTTTCTCTCGGCAGTCTATGAGATATTCAGTATGTTTTACTAACGCTACAGTTCAAATGCTTTGGTTTATTATTTTTTATTTGTATTATTCACTGTTGTTGTTGCTGTTGTTATGTGCCGTCAAGTCACCTACAACACATAGTGACCCTATGTTCAACAGCTCTGAAGCCTACCTTGTCCTGAGCCAGTCTCACTGACTCCAACATACCTACCCCCACTGCCCCAGTTACTGTCTCAATCCATCTCATCTGGGGTCTCCCTCTCCCTCCACCCTTCTAAGCATGATGCCTTTCTCCAAGGATTGGTCCCTCCTGGCCACATGCCCAGAGTATGTAAGACGGAGCTTCAAAATCCTAGCCTGCAAGGAGAAACTTGGTTTCCCTCTCCCCAAGACAGACTTAGTTGTTTTCTTAGCAATCCATAGTATGTTCAAGACTCTTCTCTAGCACCACAACTCAAAGGAATCAATTCTTCTTCTATCACCTTTAGTCATTATCCTGTTCTCTGATGCATAAGAAGTAAGTGCAAAGACCATGGACTGGATCAGGTACACCTTAGTCTCTAGACTGACATCATTGCTTCTCAGTACTCTGGAGAGGTGCTTGACAGCAGATTTACCTAAAGCAATTCCTCTTTTGATTTCCTGACTGCTGGTGCCAAGAATATTAATTGTGGAGCTGAACAAACTGTAACTGTTAACAACCTCAACCATGTCTCCATCCATTATGGTGCTGCCAATTGGCCCAGTGGTGAGAATCTTTGTCTTCTTGATGCAGAGTTTCAATCCATATTGAAGACTACAGTCCTTGATTTTTTTTTTTACAAGTGCTTCAGATCCGCCTCAGTTTCAGCAGGCAAGGTTGTGTTATCCGCATAAAGTAAGTTGTTAACGAGCCTCCCTCCAATCCTGATGCCACATTCCTCCTTATAAAGCCCATTATCAATTAATTATTAATAAAACCCTCAATAAGCTTGAGTACCTTTCCTGGCCTTTTAGGAAGTCCCTGGGAGGGAACCTGGAAAGGTCATTTGCAGCTCTGAGAGGAATTTCAGACGCTTTGATATTTTTTACAACTCCTCTTTGGTTCGGCACTCTTCACAGGTTTACTACAATTTGCTAACACTTTTTTCAAGTGGGAATTCATCAAATGAGGATAGCTGGCTGGGAGGGAGAGAGGCAGCAGCTGCCTCATGAAGCAGCTGCTTGACACTCACATGGCAAGACAGCAGCCCCCCATCATCTTTCCATCTGAGGACACGTCCTCTCATTCCAGAAGCTGTACTGTCCTGTGAGCATCTGCCCAGTTTGCCTTTTATGTAATTAGGAAACAAGTTGCCAAGTTGTAAATGTCATTGCTGAAAAGGAGAGCATGCTTACCAGGAATGCTGAAATTCATCAGGATGACGTTATATTTTTCTAATAAAGGAACCTGTTCCGCTGGCTAAGGAGCCTTAGTGACACACTGATTAAAAGACTTCAGTTAGTAGTAAGAAGACACTTCTCAGAGAAAAATGAGGCAGTCCACTTCCATGTAGATTTACAGGGGCCTTACAAGCTCTGGGGGGCAGTTCTCTCTGTCTCTACAATGTCACTACGAGTCAGAATTGACTGCAATGAGTTCCTGTCTGCCAATTCTCATGTTTGGGAACTAACCCTAGGAGCCTGGGCTGTGCTGTGGCAGAAGTCGGGTCTCATGATGGAATGAGGCAGACGCAGTGATATGACAACCACAGGGATGGCCCACAGCTACTGGCCAGAGGACATCAGATATGTCAGCAGTATGATCACTGAAATGTCAGTAACAAATGAATGATCTGTCAGTTAGGCTAAGTAGCAAAGTTAGTCCCAGAATGTAAGTCCTCTGACTTCTAAGCTAATGTTCTTGTGTTAGTGACTTCTTTGTGAAGGGTGAAGGGGCCCTGGTGACATAGTGAGCTGTTAATTGAAAGGTCAACAGTTCGAGTCTACCAGTCACTCTGGAAGAAGGATGAGCAGTCTCCTCCTGTGAAGATTTTTCAGCCTCAGAAACCCAAAGGAATGCCACTGGGAGTCGGAATCAAGTCCAGGCCGCGGGTGTGCTTACACACGGGTAAGCTCTCAACTGCCGACTGAAACACTGACACTCCAGTCTACCC